ACACCGATGAATTACTATGAAGTATTTATAAGATTGTCACTGGTAAATAGTCCCACCATCTTCCAAAACTATGGTACATGTGTGTGCACTCATTCCAGTTCTTGCTGGTAGCCAAGTTCAGCATCGTAAACCCACAAACCTTCACAATATCACCAATTCATACACTTGTCCAACATACTTATTGTAGTGTATTTTATTCTTCGTTCGAAATGTGGATGGTTTGTAGTCGTTTGCAAGAATTTCTTTTCCCTGAGGTACTTTAGTAGCTGTTTTGTAGTACTATCCACTTTTACAGTTATTCTAATTATCAACATTTTCTTCTACGTACCCGCTTCTCGATTAAATTGTGCGCTAATTTACATTTGTTCCAACATTTTAAAGCCTTCTGCTTTCATTTACTCTTGCCAAACTAAATTGTGGTGGTTTAAACTCAGTCACGCTTGACAGATGTCCTCAAAATAGTAATAGTTATAGTAAGTCTGTAGATGTTATTTTCATAGGATCTGTTAAGATCCTCAATAAGCTACCTCACTGTAGTTTGCTGATAAAAATGGAGATCTTCAGAATCGTTTAAAGTCTGCCTGTATGGGCCAGAGAGTTTCTTATTCATAGCAGACAAAGAACAATCATCAATTTCTAACTATTTTCTTTCTTTCAAGTCGGTACGAAAAGGAATGTCGTAAGGCATAGTTTTAGGTCTTCTGCAGTTTCTTCCATGAGTAAATTAAATGTAAAGCATTGCGAAATCTTCCATGATTGTCTATGCCAATGATGTAAACATTTGGCTAAAATTAAAGGATGAAGATGATGACGCACACTTAAAACAATCCTACCGAGTTTGTTAAGCTAGTCATAGAAATGAATGATGCTTCTCAATGCAGGCTTATGCGTGACCATGACCAAAAAGCACGCAGATATCATCAGCCACAATATCGGCTGCAGTGCTCTTCTTTCATTATCGACCCACAATATAACCTAGGAGTCAAAGTACGTCATTACTTGAAAACCGCGGTGCACTGTCGGTTAGTCGTAGCTCAAAGTTTCAAGACACTGCACAATATGTAGAACGCTTAGTCGCAATATGTCCACCAACATGTACACAGTTTAATTCAGATGCAAACTAGAAAACTACCCACAAGTGGTAAATCCTTGTTTATAAGATAATTCAGATATTCTGGAAAGATTTTAAAGAACAGCAACACATATGATTCTTAGGATGACAGTTATGACCTGAGAGAAATGACTTCAGAGATGAACATCTGCCGTTTAAGGTAAATGTGAAACATTGAGAAATCATTCCCCCCCCCCCCTATCGTTTCTCTCTTTTCCATCCTATGATGTCTGAACACTTAAGATGACGTAGCAAGAGACTACCGAAGAATCCCCGTAGAGTACTGTTATTCGCATCACAAGGAGAGGCATCGTTGACATTAATTGACTCAATCAAGAGAGGACTAGAAAACATTAAGAACTATTGGAAAAGGATTAACATCGGTTCAAAGTCTGCGATGCTCAAATCCCACACCTAAATTTGAAATATCTGTTTACCTACTGACATTTTACAAGTAATGTGGAGACATTGTGCAATATTCCAGTTTAAATGACCGTGTTAAAATAAAGAAATTCAGGCCGACAGAAGAAAATTAAAAAAGTACACTCTTCGAATAAATGCTACTTTTAAGTCTCTGTACAACCACCAATAACTAGAAAAAGCTTAGTTCCAGTGGCTGGGACAATAAAAGATTTGTTTGCATGATTTGACACCTGTAAGAAGTATTCAGAACACTGAACATACTAGAAAGAGAGATTTCAACAGACGCCAATAAGATACACCCTAAGCCTTTTACAGAGTCTAGTTCATCTTCGCACCTCTGTGAAATGAGTGAGACAATAAAGAAAGGAGAAATGGCACCTTTATCCATAACCCAAACCTAAAATTGCATCCTTGGGAAAAGATGTTGAAATGCCTCAAAGTTAACGTCAAGTGTTAGAGAAAATCATGAGTAGAGCTACGACGACTAATTTAAAATACTACTTCGCGTTAAACAGTGCGCATCATCACCCTTGAAAGAGATTCCTTTTGCATGCTCGTTTTCTTCACAGATGAGTATTGGAAGACCTTCAACGATAAAAGATTTTCTTCTTCATGATCATTATATGTATAAATCGAGTTGTGCATTTAAAAGATGGCTGAAACTTCTCACATATACTACCCTAGAGTTTTGTTCAGATACCATAAGTTTTGTCGTTGCTATGTTAAAGGGGATATTAACCTTGATTTATCACGTAGCAATTTTTTTCACGACAATCTTTTACCTAAAAGACTGCTAAAATAGGGTCAAATGTTGGTATGAAACCATGGGGAATCCAAATTTTTTACTCAGTGAATCCAGGTTTCATCTCATAACTTATAAATAAATGCAGGTTAGCCGGGAAAATATTATCCGCCTATTGATACAGTTTATTTTGTCAAGTGCTCACAGATGATGTTAGTGGAAGTGTGAAACCTGTATAAATACTTCTGTCTTACGAAGTCATGCAGGAGCTCCGGAGTGAGCATAGTATTGTACTGGTTATTAGTTATAGTCCAAGAATTCACAGCACTACAGTCAGTAAACATGACCATTATCTCAGTTGTAAAATGAGTGTTAACTATAGTGTACAAAGCCTCTTTTTTATTTCGGCCACAATATTGTTTATAGGCTGAAGATGTATGACAGAGGATTGGCTTAAGTCGTACTGACAAGTTTTAGATATCTTATGCACATATACACCTTGAGATAATTAGCTTATCACGAGAAAAAAGAATCCTTAAGCTTTATTTATCCTCCCAATCACATAGTTACGAGGAGGAAACACAGTTAAAACGTACTGGACTTCGAAAAATGAATACGAACATGAAAAATCATCCCTTTTTATTATAGACAGAAACTTTCCAGTGAAAATTACAGGTAAATTCAAAGGCCAATCTCTGGGTCATTGTTGTCTCTGTCAAATACTGGTGAAGAAAGAGAGACTGAACTCATCCCTGATTATCTGTTCCGTCTTGTCTAGTCCGAATATTAACTTATATAACCACTAATCCAATCACTTGGCAACTTCAAAGGTTTTAAGAACTACGTGAAGTAAACAAAGATGGACTTGGGAGCAGTGATAGGGAAGGAGAACAACTCCGTCCGTAATCTTTTAACTACAGTGACTGAAATGTAGATGGCTTGTGCAAACCTATTGTTGATAAACAGCTGAGTAAGATCAAAGTGAACTAAATTAAACTGACTAGATTTAAAGTAACTTACTATTGTTCGAAGTTATGTCACTTGCTTCGCTACGCTCGCTCAGTTTATTGGTTCTGTAAAATCATTTATTGACATGTTTTTTGTCGTCATTTTCTTCTTTATGCTTTCTTATATTGTTGAATCGTTTCTGTTAAAACGACAATCACCGTTTAACACTTTCATCTTATCCTCAATCCTGGGAGTTGATGAAGTGATAGAAGTCAGGGAGTAGGTGTTAACAAGACAATATCTCTGTGGAAACCAGTCAACAATAGTGCACCGTATGGTGCAACTTTAGGCTTTGTACTCTTCGTAGTTGATGTGAATGATTACTGATAAAGGTCAGGTCATACTGTCTTGTGTTTGCATGCACAACGACAAGGAAAGGCTAGTCCTAAAAGAAGACACATACATCAGCTACGTGGCCTAGAGGGTGGTCACCGGAACTAAACAAATACAAATGCTGTCATGTATTCTAGTCATGAAAAAGCATGCAAACACAATAATAACAATAAGCCGTTACCTAAAGTTTTCAAGTGTAAGGATTTAGGAGTCACTGTAAGCCATGACCTTAAAATCATAACGAACCTAAGGTCATGAGCGAAAATACCAAAAGAGTCCTATGGTTCCTTCGTAAGTCTTTTCAGTGCTTCATTAGTGACATGTTTTAGATATTATATTCTACATATACCGGACTTAATTTTGAATGTGTGACCCAGACAGCGAAGCACATATGCTGGTACAATTTCAACGGATAGGCATTAAAATGGTTAAAGAATTCCGTATCGTCCTATAGGGAGGGCAGTTAGATCAACTTGACTTATTTCCACTATCATGAGGGAGATTTAGTGGAGAACTGACGCTGGGATATTGCATTTGAAGCAGTGATCCTGGCAGTTGTCTATCTTGTTTATTGCTTCCCTCTAAAAATGGTCACATCACCGAACAGACCGAAAACCTCGGTCAAATAGTCTACGTCTGAAAATTTATTCAACAGACCCAGGTGTAAAAACTAGAAATTTCTTTTTCGGATCATGCTTTCTCTAAGTCTCCCAGGAACACTTGTTAAGAAAGATTAGATCATCGTACTCAGCATTGAAAGAATAAAAGAGATCAGTTGATCTGTTATCACTTATAACGAAAGCTGAATCGAGGACAGATATATATGAGTATTATTACTAGCGTAAATTCATACATATTATGAAGCGAAGAGGTTATTATGGACCAGCATATGCAGGGTGATTTATTAGTTTTTAATTTCTGATGTTATCATAAGTCTAGATCGTTGAGTTGAGATGAAACATGGCCAATAGTAGGTGAGTAAGGTGAAGGACATGAAAGTACTACCGATGGAGCCCAAATAACATGATAATCTGACAAGTATTACATGACTCATACAAAAAATTATGCGTTTGTTTCCCCGAGTTTTTGTAACTTCTTATGTGATATATGCGAAAATGCTGATGGTCACAGCAACCGATATATAGAAAAAGAGATATACTACCTCCAAATAGTGACATTAAAACCTCTTGAAAAACTTCAGCATTCTTCCGTATAACTTATGCCTTCTTCTTTGCTCGAGATGTCATGAGTTTACAGAAAATACACCCCACATACAGGTTAGCTAACTTTGTTTGGAAAAATTAAGTTCCAAATTGTTCATATTAAAACTCAATAACATAAGGACAAAAAGAAAGAGGAGCCAAACGGCAAAAATGTACCTACGGGTTTTATTGATTTGTTTATTCTGATTGTATTTCTGCGATTTATTGTTCATCTCTGATAACTTATAGACCTTAGAATCCATTTTCTCTTGAGTATCCGTGAATTCTGAGTCTGTTTCATAGTTTTCACTATAGTCTTGACTGACCGGAAGATTAAGTGGCTGATTCCAAACCTGAAAATTAACATCCTTCAATTAATTGTGATTGCAAGAAATAAAAAGACTTCCCTTATAGTAGTTAAAATTACCAACCTTGTCTTTATCGAATACACAAGATTCCATTTCGAGAAAATCACAAACTAACGCAGATACAATCCTCTAGTAATTTCAAAACATCGCTAGGTTTCTACGGTTTTGGTAGACGCGGTTATTTATTAAATAATTTTCCCCTTGAGTATACATGATTCTAACACCTAACCCAATATCCAATACCCAGCTCTAACATGCTGAACCAATAGTGCGACTGCAGGTAACTTATAGTTTTCGAACTCTTGCTTCTAAGCCACAGCGATTGGTTCTCTTTGTTCTACCACCTAACATCAAAAGTGAAAGTAGAGGAAACCTGTATTTTTTGAACTCTCCGTTCTAGGTCTTCAGTTATACTCCTTCGGTGGCTGCAGAAGGCTTTTCAGTTTTCCTGCTTACAGCTTATAGTGAGTGTCTATTCTAAATTTTTCTTTTGCAAACTGTAGGCTGGTTTGTTAGAGGGAGCAAAGGTGGAGCTGATAAGATCGGTTCCAACTTCCAGTATCGGTGGTGACAGGTTTGATAGGTTCAATCCCTCGGTGTCTTATTTTTTCTTTTTCGGTGTCTACTTCTCATTTCTTGTTGAGTGGTTTGCTCCTGTAGCAGGCGAGGAAATCTCTTCCGCTCTCCCACGTTTAGTTCCAGCTAGACGAATGCTTTTGTGAATTGATATTTGTAGTTTGTAGATTTACTGGGTCAGGAAGCAATGCGCTGCTTTGAAGATCAAGTATCTTTCATGACTCTTCTCAGTACAGTTACCTGAACAGAAATGACAGGATAGTAGGAAAAGGTATATCGTGGGTTTCCGCAGAGTAAAGCTAGATAATTTGAGTCTAATTGCTGGAGGGGAGTTGAAAGATACTGCTTCTGCATCGAAATGAAGGATGGCGAATACCCTTGGAAGAAAATATTGGACTAGAGTATGTTGTACTACCTATCACCCTCACGGAGTTCCTTCATCCCAACCACCATATTTCAGATAAGTTTAGTTTGTTTGCAAGACTTGCTATGCACTTGATCATGTAAGTCATGTTGAGGTCATCATTATTTCTCCCATAACGCATGGCAAATACGTTTAAGCTTATTAGTCTTCCCGGGTATGTTTTCCCTCTTAGTCCTACAGACGTTTCTGTCGCAGACCTCTATATTTTCCCAAAGGGGCTGCAGTGTCAACTGAAAGCTAGAAGCGCTACCACAATGAGAAATGCCAGATGCAACCGAACACAGGATTTGAAAACTGCTGGAAACAGTTCTCTGGTAAGAGCACTGAGCCCTTTGCTCAGGGAGCCGATGGTAGCGATCACTTTGGCAGCTAGTTCTTTGCAGTTAGAGCTATCGTTTAGGGTATCGAAGTAGCTGGGCACTATGTAGTTTTCTCGTGAATACTTCAATGATATCATGGTTGTTCAATTTGAATTTGGTCATCTGCGTTTGGCGTATGGTGAGGTGAATAACTTATTTTTCCAGGTTGAAGCTCAACCCGTTTCCTGGCAACCAGCGTTCTGTTGGCTTTAGACAGTTATGGAGAGCCAAACAATCGGCCTCTACGTCTGCCATTCTCCAAATTTTGGCGTCATTAGCAAGAATTGTGGACGATTATGTTTTGTTTCAGAGATAGTTGATGAACAACAGGGACAGAAGCGGCACCAGCCCTGTTCTCTAAGGTACCTCCCCCCAATGTTGATGGTCTCCACATCAACCGAATTCCGTTCACTTTTGCCCGGAATTGTCCGCCTCCTAGGTGGGCTTTAAGCCAAGAGAGCAGAGACTCACTCATACTGACTGACGTGACCTTGCGACGTAAGACTTTGTGTGGCTAGCCATCAAATGCTTTAGCTAAGTCCGGAAAAATGAAGTGCACTGATTTTCTGTCAACCCAGAAGGAATGTCAGGATAATCAAAAAGTTGTTAGTTCATGAATGATCACTTCACTGCCATGGCGATCAACATAAACAGTGTCTTCCCTGTTAACGAAACCCTGGGGCTCGCCTGCTATCGGGCTTTCCAATATTTTCTACAGCAAATGGAGTAGAATAGTAGTTCTGCAGCTACCGAGAATTCTTCTGTCTGTTCTAATGAAAATGGATGGCGAGATGGCACGCCTCTGATCTTCAGTGTACCCTCATGGCCCTAACGGGTGATTCAAGAAAGTGGAATAGTTACGTGCATGCCTCGGCAGAAATCCCTAGGGTTGCTGGTCTGAGTTGGTCTCAGGCGGAGGACTAGCCGGGGCTGGACCTGCGTAGTCTTTCCGATACCTTTTTCTGCGTCATGTGGGCGTGGCGAACGTCCTTGTTGGTTAAATTCCGATCGGTTATATCGCACTGTGCTTCAAAGCGTCATCTGGGGAGTTCAGCCATTTCTAAGCTGCTTGGTACATCTCCACTGAAACCTGTAATAAAATTAACTCCTTTTCTAGTCGTCTTCTTTTTAACATGAAGCGGTGCTGGCTTTTCGGGTTGCGTTTTAGACTGTTAGGTTGCACTGTTCACCAATCTTTTGTGGATACAGAGTTCTGACCCCCTACTTGATGGGTGCTAGGCGAACCAGGCCTAGTATTTGGTCCGAGGTGGCCTCTGCGTTCAGCGCCTCAGACATGCCGTCCGCTCTGACTCCCGATGTGTTGCCCGTGACATGCTGTAACGGACTGACAGAGGATTGTTTCATTTATCTGTTTCGAATGTTCGCCCGCTGTGAGATGAAGAGTATCTTCAGGCCTTTGTGCAGTCATGAGGCAATTTCGCATGGTTTCTATGTTGTCATTGCTATGGCAGGTTTTCGGTACCTATGGTTGAAGAACCTGCTTTATCATCATGAAGAAGGTTTTTACCACACGATCTGTGCGGCTAACGAGCTGTTGAAGCCATGGGTTGTCAGTGAGGAGATCGCTGTTCTTCCTGCACGTTAACCAGGCGTTGTGCATTAACGTTAGGCCCCATTCTGCGACGTCGCCCTCTTTAGTTGACAGGTCATCTGTCTTAAATGGACTCTCGTACCTCTCGCTAAAGGACACAGAAGTGTCTCTCATCCGTCTCCAAGCGAATGGATGGTCAGCTGAAGTACCTAAGGGTGGTAGGGGATTCGCTGGAAGTGAGCGATGGGCGTCACAGAGCTCGCACAATTTCATCTCTAGGTCGCTCAATCCCAGCAAGCCACATTCAGAGTCGAAATTCTGCTTGTCAGTCACTTCTCCGTGGTTAAGAAGACTGTCGTTGCACACGGAAACGTTGCATAGGATTATGGGGCCTGATCATTCGTCTACATTTGTATCACAATATGTTGTGGGTTGGTTTTCCTGAACAAGTCGCATCTTCTTCACTGTCAGCAATTTTTGTGTATTCAGAAATGCTTGTCAATAAACCAACTTCGAGAGTTGGGACCTATGTGGCTGGCAGATGTTTTCCACACCTGAATAACTCACTGCCTTGACCATCCACAGAGCGTCACTGAGTGTTTAGATGTCAAAACTCCCAATCATGGCAGTGGCAGAGGTACAAGCTTGCATTTGGGGGACTACTGGAAAGTTTTCTCAGCCTACCTAATGGAGTCTGTAGATAGCAGTGAGCTTTCATGACGGCATGAGGAAATGCGTCAGAGATCCGTGCATGGTAGGTGCGTAATGTAAACATCATATTCATCTGGCACGTCCTTATGATGTCAAAAATGCACTAACTTAAACCCACAGCTGGGCCGCGTACGCGATAATCGCCGCCATGGCCAGGAGATTTGGTCAGATGCCGTTTTTTACTTCTTTGTCATCTCCCCCTGCAATTTTCGCGAATGAGCTTGGGTTCGAGCCATGCCTCCCAACGAGGTCTGCATTTCACTGACCAAGGACGAAGCTGTTTGGAGTATTGCCAGGTCGATAGAATTGTAGGTCAGTCGGGTTGAGTAATCACGAGCGAAGGAGATGAGTGTTCAAGGAAAGTTAACAACAGTAAGCAAAAAATGTTGAGGACGTGACAAAAGAGGTAACAGTGGAAGAAGGAGAGGGAACTGTTTAGTCACCACAAAGGAGCAGAAGACTGAGTTATGGCAGAGAGCAAAAACAACGCAGGGGACCAATCCGAAAGCAGAAAACGGTTGAGTCACTTTGGTAAGAGAGCCGGAAAGGTCTGATGACATTCCGCGTCTTTAAATTTTGCTGAGGCTTGGTTAGAACCAAGACACTTTCGCTAAGTATAGGTCAAGCAAATGATCGCACTCCACGTTGTTACTTGATATTCAGCTTGTCTTTCTTATTTGATTCCGTGTGCATGTTACCCATTTCCTTCCCAACATGCTTTATCAATGACAGCTCCTTTTTTCAGGAGATTGAGGAAAGTGGTACCTTGTTTCTTCTCCGTTGTTGATGTTCAATCCAGAAGTACCTAAATGGCTTTCCCCCCTTCAAGCAAATTCTTTCCTGGCCGTTGTGATTCAGTTTATCTCACCATAACTTTCCTGTTCATGAGTTCTTGCTTAACTTCCTACAGGATATCTTGATTTACTCGAGGTTGCGCGGAGATTAATTACGGCACTTTTTATTTAGCCGCCTGTTTCGGGTATTTTTACTGTTTCACTTGACCTTGCAGACAGGCGTCTGGTCAGTTTTGCTGAAAATATTTCCGTCATCGGTCGCCATACATTCGTCGCCCTAAAAGATCGCCTTGCCACGAGGGCTTGTAGTTCGGTATCATAACAGTTCGCATTGGCTTCGTAGAGCCAGGATGACATCACTGACATACCCTATTGACGTATACGTTATCGTGACTAAGCGATGCCACAGACAGAGCCAGGTAAACCGTATTTTCTTATCCCTGCGATATATTTCCTCTACGTATAACTCAAGGGAGCAAATTATACAATTCGGAAAAAACGCACTCATCTCTTTTGGGTGAGCCAAGAATGCAAGGTACACTCGAAACAGAACACCGAACTTTTTGCCATACATAGTGCCCTAGACAAATTAGGTGTACTGGTGTAGTTGGCACACACCGCACCCGTCGCTTCATCAAAAGATAATTTTTCAGATTTTTGGTCATCTCATATGGCTAGTTTGGCGTCACACACTCCCCCAAAATCAATAGCCTAGGGTTTGACGACTTTCGACATTGATGCTGACCTCGATAGTTTAGCTGGACTCACTAAGCTGAAGGCACCCGGCCAAGCATCCTCGCCATTTGGCACGCTGTCGTGTTACGTTGCATTGCTCGTATTCGACTCTCTAGCCAGTTAGTTGGAACGCATCGGTATTTTGTCACAGCCATCCAAATATACTATTCCATCCGACTAGGCTATCGTGTCCTTCCTTGGTCTCGTGGGT